ATAACTAATCAGCCGGGCAGTGGTGGCGCATGCCTTTAATCCTAGCGCTCAGGAGTCAGAGGCAGGCAGAGCTCTGTGAGTTCGAGACCAGCCTGGTCTACAAGAGCTAGTTCCAGGCCAGCCTCCAAAGCCACCATGAAACCCTGTCTAGAATCACCCCCCCCAAAAAACCCTTAAGTTTCCTATAAAAGAAGTATTGAATTCTAACAGATTTCACATAGTACAACCCACAACCGCCAGCCAGCCCTCCAACTATTTTTGTACATCCTAAGACCCAAAAATAGTTTCTACACTTGTCAATAGTTTAGAAATATCAAAAGAAAACTATTCCATGGCATGTCAATATTGCAGGAAAATTTAAATTCAGCATCTATAAATAATCACTGGGGCAGGGCCGGCGGAGTGGTTTACATGGCATCTATGCCACATGCCCACTGCAGCAGAGACAACTGGAGAATTGCACCAGGGGCCTGCGTGCTGCACCAAGCTAGAAGCACTTTACAGAAACTTTAGAGCTGCTCCCCACACCCCACCGCCCTGGGGTACAAGGGAGGAGTAAGAGAGATGACTCTCAAATATGAAGTGACGTTTTTTGGAGAATCAGTCAGTGCTTTGACAAGAAGCAATTTGGCTATGGGCTGTACGACTGACAGTAGAGATAAGTCGTGGGTCTGGAAGCATAGCCGTCTGACATAGAGGAGGGCTGTGCTAACATTCTCTTTGAAACTATCACTGCTTCTTGGTGATGGATTTCTTTTCCCACCCCCGCAGGAATTTGATCAGTTTGATGAAATTTCATTGATGTCAACTATACGTACGACCGTCTGTGTCGTATCACGAGAGCTGTTTGGCTCAAAGACAATAAACAGCCCTTGAACCCTTTCTCTTGCTTAAGCAGGAAGTCACCACTCAACAGTAAGGAATTTAAAACAAATCCCACAAAGTTTTATGTTTGCTTTAGAATGTGAAACATTTGTAGTCTGGGGATATTGTCATCTTGGCTACCCCCTCTCTACTGTGAGAAGGAAGACATGCCTTGCTTTCTGGTTCAGTAAGAGGGGCGTACCTTGCCCTCAGTCAAACATAATTACAATTCCCTCTGGAGAACATCTTATAAGGAAGATTATCATACTTTTTGTGAAATCGAACATCTCCCTCATTGCCTCACGAATTCTCAGGCTTACTGTATTTCAAGGTGGTGTTTGACATCAGCAATCGTTAGAGGCCATCTGTTTTTACAGTGGAAGAGCAGACCCAGTCCTGGAAATCCAAGCCTCTCTGAGCTGTTTCCATCTTAGAGAAAGATGATGGGTTTTTGTTGTTGTTGTTGTGTGCTTGCAAGTCAGGAGGAATACGGTAGCAGACATGTCATTGTGACTTACTAAGACAATTTATATTGTTAGAGATTTCTACTAACTTCACTACAAAGTTAGAGAAAACATTAGGGCACGAAGAGAAGAGTAAATGAACTATGGGAAAGTGAAAATTCCTCGATGCATTCCAGCTTAAGGTAAAATAAGAATGACGTGTATCAAGCCGGGCGGTGGTGGCGCACGCCTTTAATCCCAGCACTCGGGAGGCAGAGGCAGGTGGATCTCTGTGAGTTCGAGGCCAGGCTGGACCGACAGCCTCCAAAACAATACAGAGAAACCCTGTCTCGTAAAAACCAAAAAAAAAAAAAAAAAAGAATGACATGTATCAAGTCCAAAAACAAAGAAATAAATGAGAACTAATGATGCCATCCCAGCATGGTAACATGTAGCCATAATCTCAACTTTTTTTGAGAGGTGGAGCGCAAGGGTCACAGAAATCCAAGCGTTCTGGGCTAGCTTGTGCAACACATCAAGACCCTTTCAAAATAACGATAACAGAGATGCCAGCTTCCTTATCAAGAGTAGTAGCGTTCACAACGGGTAATTGCAGCTAAGGGCAATGCTCTCTCCAAGCATAGTAAACATGAGAAAACAGGGTCCCAGACTTGGTGACCTGTGTTTGTTTGGTTTTGGAGACAGGCTTTCTCTGTGTCGCACCAGCTATTCTGGAACTTGCTTTGTAGCCAAGGGTGGCCTCTGACTCAAAGACCCACCTGCCTCTGCCTCTCTAATGCTTGGATTAAAAGTGTGCACCACCAAGCCCGACTTTTTTTTTTTTTTTTTTTTTGGTGATATGTGACCTTAGCATTACCAGAAGCTGTCTTTACCAACAGGGACATTTTGTCAGCTGGTTTAACTGTGTGGCTGGGAAACACGTCTCTCCTAATAGAAATATGTAAAGGCCACCTGTTGTGGTTTTAAAAAGTGCCACTGGAGCTTGGGTGGAGGGGTTTTTTATTGATGGAAAGTGAATGGAGAAAGAGGGGGAGGGGAGACCGGCCTCTGGGGAGGGGGAGGGTGGGAGGTGGGCAGGGCCCTTTTAACAGGGAACATAGTGAATGTGCACAGGTGGTGCTCTTAGTGGCTGTAGCTGAAGACATATCCTGTCAGAACCCCAAGGACCTGCCAGTAGAAATGCCTGAATACTGACACCACCAGCCAGGGAGGGACACCTCAGAAGTGGGAGTTGGACAGTGTCTACAGAAGCCCGCAAGACTGTGAGAAACTAGAACTCCCTCCCCCAACGCTACTCCAGCAAGGCCCAGTACAAAGCCCTTAGCCCACTGGGAGAAAACTAGCTGAAACAAATGGCCTGTTTCCAACCTGTCCCTGGTAACAAGAAGCTAGGACCCCACCTCCAGGGGCCAATTAAAAGGAAGGTGTCACTGAGCAGGCATCCCAATTAACAAGATATACTCTTTAAAAAGGGAGGGAGGGAGGGAGGGAGGAAAGAAGGAAGGAAGGAAGACAAAAGAAAGAAAAGGAAAAAAAGTCAGCGTCAATTAAGTAGTTACAGCTTCTGGGTCTCACTAGATCACCCAGGGCGCAAGGAACTCCCCCGAAGCTGTAGGGTGTGGTGTTAGCTCTCTACTGGCTTCCCGGCCCTACCCAGATGGGGAAAGAGAAGTATGGGTCTTGTCTCTATTACACATCCTTTGAAAAAGAGTGTTTTCGGCTAAAAAAAAAATGCTAATAGTATATTTGAAAGGCCAACATGCTGTATAACTGGCCCAAACGTTAGGTTTCTTGTTATTGTATCGCTAACGAAATTTAAAAGAGCCGAGGTGCATCTGGCACGCAGAAAAATGCCAAGACTGTGGGTGACATCGGGTGGCACTTTTGCCAGGGAGCGCAGTAGGAAGCACTTCACAGACAGGATGAAACAGTCTGAAGCCAGCAGACATCAGCCAGCTGGTGAGCTCCAGGCTGATGCAGCTGGGGACATGCGTGGGAGGCGGTGTGCGCCATGCATGCGGGCGGGGGTGAGCCCCACGCCACACAACAAGAAAACTCAGGCGCTGAGATTGACAGCAGGCGCACGGGGTCCAAGCAGCAGGTGCTTGCAACCAACGCCCACAGTCAGCTTGCAGTGAGTGTTTTCCGAGTGTCTGGTTGCTTGTTTAAATGTTTTGCGGAATTCAAACCAAGTCACAATTTCTAAGCACCTGGAACTACTCTGGGGCAGCAAGGGTTTCTACCCTGTGGGGGTGGGAGGCGTGGAGATCGAGGTAGGTGTAAACAACAGAGAGAGTGGCCGGCGGTTCTAATTTGAGCTATTTTAGTCGTGGGTCCTAGTACCCGCGCAGTCTTGGGACAGTTGGCCCCTACAGGGTGGAGCGCCTTGATGATAAGCATCCCACTGAACCACCTAAACTGAGTGAAGTTCTGGCGGAGCTGCGACCCTCTAGGCTAGAGAGTCCAAAGGCCGCCAGCTCTGCTCCCGAGGGCGTGGCCTTGCCACACTCCCCACGTGGTCCTCGAGTTTCCCCTCCCGGATCGTGGCTAGCGCGGCCCCCACCAGCTTAGCTCAGCCCGGCATCATGGATTCCCAGTCCCGCTGTGTGGTGGTGACCGGTAAGCCCGCATTTCCTTGCGTTCCGGGTGGCTGCTGCTTTCTGCTGGCACCTGGAATGCGCACTTGCGCGACACCGCTCGTAAACAGCTCTCCCAGGGGAACATGAGTGGCAACTGGTTGGTGGTGGGAGGAATTCCAGATGGAAACTGACTTCCTGCCCTGCCCTATTAAAACACGGGCTTTCCTGCTTCTGAGCCCCCGACTCCACAAATAACTCGAGTGGCATGCACGGAGGTGCCCACTTGTGGCTTAAGTTCACTCAGACCTTGTTTGCCCTTCAGCCCCATGGGGAGGAGCCCAGGCTGTCACCTGCTGTCCCTAAGCCTAGGACCCTGGAGAAAGGATTGAAAGGGCAGACCCTCACCAGACTCACACTGTCCTTCTACAATGACCATTCCTTAATGGAGTCTGCAGTCCTCAACCCCAGGGTGCTCTTGCTATGGGAACACTGAACTAACCAAAGCCCGTGGGCGCGCGCGCACACACACACACACACACACACACACACACACACACACGCTGCTTGATGCCTCTGAACCCCTAAAGGTCAGCTTGGACGTATTGGTGACCCCAGACACATGCACCTTGTCATTGTCACAGCTGGTCCCTAAGGGGCTTGCTCTTTCCTCACAACGCTCTTATTTTTAGCTAGACACCAAAGCGATTTATTTATTTTTAGTTAGACACATTTGGCACATTTCAAAGTTACTCACCTTGCATTTCATAAAGGGAGCATGAAGGATTCCTGTCACCTGTCTTAATTGAAAGCTATTTCGGACAGTAATTCATACGATCAGCCTTCCAAAGAGAGGGAAAAGAAAATTCTTTCCAAACATTTTTTTCTCTGATTGTACTTTTGTCTCCTTACTCTGGGGTCAGAGATTGGCATGGTTCAAATTACTCAGCGACTTCAGGAAACCATCCATCCTCTCCGCCAAAGCTGTGCCTGTCTCAAGTGAAATCCGAGGATGGAAACCTGCTGCCCTCCCCCCCCAAACCTGCTGCCCCCCCCCTTGGACTCACGTCTTACCCTGCATTCCTCCCACCAGCCCGCAGTCTGCTCGCAAGTGGCTGGCAGTCAGGCGCCATTGGGAAATGCCCACGGATTCCAGAGTGTGGCTACCTTTATTGGCCGTGTTTAGAGCTGCTGGAACAGACTCTTCATTTAACTGGATCTGCTGGCTGTGTAAACCTTGTCCCAATTGATAACTGGCATTAAGGCAGGTGGGAGAAGTGCTAGGACTCCAACACACACGCAAGGTATTGGCTGGCACCAACTGTAAAAGGAGAGATCAGGTGAGCCTACACCTTCTCCAAGGGTCCCCTGATTCCACCAGATTTCCCTGGCTGACTACACACACACACCTCTCTCTCTCTCTCTCTCTCTCTCTCTCTCTCTCTCTCTCTCTCTCTCTCTCTCTCTCCAAGGGAGTCCTGATGGTGAGGATAGCCCAGTAAAACAGGACCTGCTAGCCTTGCTCTCTGAGTTCTTTTTTCCTAGTTTTTGGTTTTGGTTTTCTTGAGATGGTTTCTCTGTATTGTTTTAGAGGCTGTCCTGGAACTCGCTCTGTAGACCAGGCTGGCCTCGAACTCACAGAGATCCGCCTGCCTCTGCCTCCCGAGTGCTGGGATTAAAGGCGTGCACCACCACCACCCAGCCATTTCAGAAATCTTTTAGAGCAAGAGGAATTTGTAAATAAATACACAGAGAACTCCTTACATCTTTCATCCCATCACCTGACCCTGAGGGGGAGAGGGGGAGAGGGGGAGAGGGTGGGGAACAGAAAGGGAGAGAGGGTTTGAGGAATGAGAGTGTATGCCCTCACAAACAACCCCATACAAGTTCAACCAGTGCAGCTTCCTGGAATCACCCCACAGTCAAGCTGTGTAACTTGGCCATCGCCACAAACCCCCTCATGCTACTCTCTTGTAGCTCCTTCTGCCTCCGTCTTCCATTCTAACACTAGATGTGTATTCCAGATTCACTTTGCTGTGATAAAATATCCAGATCAAAACAAACAAACTCAAAACCAACTACTTAGAGGATAAAGGAATTTACAATCGCAGGTTACAGCCCATCATTGTGGGGAAGTCAATGCAGGAACTCCAGACAGCTGATCACAGCACATCTACAGTCAAGACCAGAGAAGTGCATACATGCCAGCTCTCCTGCTTGGCTTGATTGCTCCTCCTTGTATAGCTCAGGACCTACTGCCTAGGGAAGGGTGCTACCTGCAAACAAACTAGGTCTCCCAGTTAACAAGACAACCCCCACAGACACGCCCACAAGCCAGCCCAGTATAGACCACCCTTCACCGAGATTTTCTCAGAGATTCTAGGCTGTATCGGGTTGACAAACAACAGAGTTAGTTTTCATTTTGGTCATGTGGCTGTGACAGAATGTCTGACAGGAACCATAGATGGAGGAAATGTTTATTTTAGCTCTTGTCAGGAATTTCAGATGGTAGGTGGTGGTGCACACCTTTAATCCCAGCAGAGGCAGGCGGATCTCTGTGATTTCGAGGCCAGCTTGGTCTACAAAGCTACACAGAGAAACCTTGTCTCAAAAAACAACTAACCAAACAAACAAACAAAAACTTCAGCCCACCGTGGGTAGCACTGTTGTATCTGAGAAAGATCGTCATGGTGACAGTAAAGTAGAGGGGCGGGCTGCTTCTCTGCCGGTGGACAGGAAGCAGAATGAAGAGTGACATAGGCACGGGCACAAAGAACACCAGTTGGAAGAACGGGTAAGTGACTTCCAGCTGAACTGCCCAAGCGTCCAGACCCTAAATCCCAGGGCACATCCCTCCCCCTTCCATCTCAGCACCAGCAAGGCAGCTGGATCTTGCCCCGACTCTGGTGAAACTCCACCGCTCTGGTGTGATCCCTAGCAGCCTGCAAGCAGGTGAGAGCCCCGCCTCCAGGCTGACTACCACCCCTGCCACCCACTGGACACTGTCTCCCAAGACCCACCCTGTCACCCCTTGCACCTGGACATCCTCCCCACAGCCAGCTATCCCTCCTCTGCAACCTCAGCGGACAGCATTGGCACATGCACAGCCCACACGAGTTGGAAGAAGAGATGAGTAAACACCACTGTAAGAATACATTCAACAGCAGAAAGAGCAATATGGTACCACAAGAACCCCAGTGATCCTACAACAGTAAGACCTGAACATTCCAGGAACACAAGGAAATGACCTTAAAAATAACTTTACAAAGGTGATGGAGGCCCTTAAAGAGGAAATGAAAAAATTACCTTAAAGAAATCAAGGAAAAGACAAACAAAAATTTGAAAATCAATAAATCCCTTAAAGCCAAGGGGGGAAAAATCAAATGGGAAGGAAACAGTTCAAGACTTGAAAATGAAATAGAAACAATTAAGAAAACACAAACCTAGGGAATTCTGGAAATGGAAAATCTGGAAAAGTGAATAGGAGCTACAGATGCAAGCATCACCAACAGAAAATACAAAAGATGGAAGAGAGAATCTCAGGCATTGAATATGTGGTAGAGGAAATAGATTCATCCATCAAAGAAAATGTTAAATCCAATAAATCCCTAGCACAAAACATCCAGGAAGTCTGGGACTCCATAAGAAGACCAAACCTAAGAATAATAGGGATAGAAGAAATCCAGCTCAAAAGCACAAAAAAGATATTCAACAAAATCATATAAGAAAACTTTCCCAACTAAAGAAGGACATGCCTATGAACATACAAGGAGCTTAGAGAACACCAAATAGGCTGGATCAAAATATATGTGTGTCCCCTTGCCACATAATATAGATACAGAGACAGATGTTCTTTAATACGCTAAAGGAGACCCCATTAGTGTCCTGACTCTTGTTCAGTCACAGGGAACCACGGATTCTGAATATCTAGCATACATGGATTTTAGTATATTGTCCTTTGAGACCAACTTCTTTCTCTTACCATGCTTACGTATTACCAATACTTCAGGTCTTTTTGTCACAAAGCATTTCATTGTATGGATTATTCCACATTTGTTTTCTATTCATCAGTTTGTGAGTATCAGGATTGTTTCTACTTTTTTTTCATGGTAGAGTAATATCACAACATATGGGTGATCCCATACCTTGCTAAGTTGTTGTGATTGTTACCCTGGTAGAACCTAATCACCGGAAGAGTCTCAACGAGGAACTGTTGAAGAGTTGGGTTGGCTTATGGGCATGTCTTTGAGGATTGTCCCAGCTAAGTTAATTGATGTGGAAAGATCCAGTTTCCTGTGGGCAGCACCATTCCCTAGACAATGGCTGGCCTGTGGACATGGCTGTGCCTACAATTAAGACAGTTAATTAATTGATATGAGAAGGCCCAGCCCATTGTGGGTGGCACCATTCCTTAGGCTGGGAATTGTAAACTGTAAGAGAGTGGAGAAATGAGACCAAGCACAGTAAGTAAGCATGTATGCATTTCTCTCTACTCTTTGACTGTGGATGCATGCGTGTACCTGAGCCATGTATGTATGGGTGCCTGCAGAGGTCAGAAGAGGCCAACAGATTCACTGGAGCAGGAGTTACAGATACCTGTGAGGCTCCAAACATGGATGCTGGGAACTGAACTCAGATCCTCTGGAAGCCCAGCATGGTGGTTTAGCTTCATTATCAGCGTGATACACCTGAAAAGAAGGGACCCTCGAGTGACTCAGTGTACTGACTGGAGCAGCTTTGGGATTGCTAATTGATAAAGGAGGGCCTGAGCCACTATCGGTAGTGCCACTCCTGGGCACATGGCCCTGGATTACATAAGCAGGCCAGTAAGCAGCATCCCTGTGTGGTCCCTGCCTCCTTGGCTTCCCTTGATGATAGGAAGTAACTTATAAACCAGATCAACCCTATCTTCCCCAAGTTGGTTTTGGGCAATTGCAAACTTGGACCAGCAGGAAGCAGTCTTTGTTTTGTTTTGTTTTTTGAGACAGGGTTTCTCTGTATAGCCCTGGCTATTCTGGAACTCACTCTGTAGACAAGGCTGGTCTTGAACTCACAGAGATCCTCCTGCCTCTGTCTCCCAAGTGCTGGGATTAAAGGCATGTGCCACCAATGCCCAGCTTCCAGGAAGCACTCTTAACCTCTGAGGAATCTCTTCAGCCCCATACACTCCCTTTTCTTTTGGACTCCCTCACTGGGCTTCACACACAGAACCCCGAGGAGGCATCCAGATGAGCAAGGTTGCAGGCGCTCTCTGGGGCCTACAGAACTTGTCACTGGGTGGCACCTGCTGGCTTGGGCAAAACTCTGGGTATCTTTTCAGGTTTTGGGCCCTTCCGGCAGTACCTGGTGAATTCCAGCTGGGAAGCCGTAAAGGTAAGCCCTGCCCCAGACCAAGCTGGCTCCTTCCCCCATGCATGGAACTCCCAGTAACCAGCGTCACCTTGGAGGGAAGACACCTGGTTTGTCTTTGGTCCTTGTGTGGTGACTTGCTCTCAGGCACTTCTCCCATTTGTGCAGTAAAGAAAGGTAGTTAAGGGTCACTCCTAGGTAGGACATGGAAGGCCCAGTGTGAGCTCTGCTGCACCTAGAACTAAGTTCTTGTCCTCTCCTCTGGATTGTGAGGCCTGGCGAAAGCCATCTTCACCAGCCTGAGTCCTCACTCATGCATGAGGAGAGATAGCACTGACGTTGCTGGACTTCACTGAGGACCCAGGTAAGTGTGCACGGCAGTTTGTACACGCTGTTCTGTGCAAGCATGGTGCGGGGCACAGGACGAGCACTTTATAAATGATCATCACTGTCAACAGCACAGCTGCTTTTAAGGATGTGGCTGACTGCCCACTGTCCACAAGGAGGCCTACTGTCCCTGACCTGCCAGGACTCTTAGGGCAATTGTCGGTTCTCACATGGGTGTCACTTAGAGACTCTGGATATTGACAGCTGCCTGGTCACACTCGGCTTTCAATTTCACACCCCTGTTGATCAAACCAAATACAGGGACTGGAGTCTATCCTCAGGGTTTCCCAGTCAAGCAGAAAATGCAGCAAAGCTGCTGGTGTCGTGCACCCAAGGCAGCTATGGCATTGATTTTGTGGTCTGTCAACACATGGCAGGCAGGAGACTCTTGACCCTTGAGTTAGCATTTGGACTTTTGGTTTTCCAGTCACGGAAAAGCTCAGAGAACCTTGGGCTTACTGCCAAGCCTCGCATGACACATAAGGTAACAGAGAGGCCAGCTCCTGGCTTCTGTAGCTAGTCCCTGGTCAGCAGGATTTCTGCCAAGTCCTCAGTGGCCCCCGACCCTTCTGTTTCATTCTGCAGCCGTGAACAATGCAAAAGAGGCAGGCTCTTCCGGTTTATCACTCAGGTCCCACAGCTGCAAGTAGTGGGAGACAAGTAAGCTGCCAAACTTTCCAGTGCCTCGGTTTCCCATATACACACACACACACACATATATATATATATATATATATATATATATATATATATATATGATTCTATGCATGGGAATATGGTGATGGTTAAGGAAGTCACTTAAAACCGGGCAGGGTGGCACACACCTTTAATCCCAGCAATTGGGAGGCAGAGGCAGGAGGATCTCTGTGAGTTCGAGACCAGCCTGGTCTATAAGCCTCCAAAGCCACAGAGAAACCCTGTCTCGAAAAACAAAACAAAACAAAAACAAAAAAGGAAGTCACTTAAAGGCCCAAGGACAGGGTGGGCATGCCGAGGGAGCTCGCAGATAGTCGGTTACCACTAGAAGGTGTTTCTGATAGACAGTCGAAGCACAGACACGTGGGCTGAGATGGGAGGATCAGCACAGGAAGTGGGAGGGTGGAGAGGATTAAGAGAGAGGCTCGAGGCTCATTAAGGTTAGTGAGCCAGAGCAAAAAGAGACACAGGCAGGGGATTCCAGGAAGCGGCAGGAGGGTGGCAAAGTAGATGCTTCTATAATAGCCAGACATGCAGAAAGTCAAGGACAGCTCTGGGCGTGTGTGTATGCCATGGTTTGCCTGTGAAGGTCAAAGGACATCATGTAGGAGTTAGTTTTCTCCTTCCCCTGAGTGAGTCCTAGGGATGGAACTCAGGTCATCAGGTTTAGGTACGAGGCACCATTACCCACTGAGTCTTCTGTTCTGACACTGACTGTGTTGGTGGTTGGTTATATAACTCTCAGTAGTAATTGTTATATCACTCTGAGTATTCTGAAAAATACAGAATTGTAAAATTAGCCCTGCGTTGGTGGTGCATGTCTTTAATCCCAGCACTTGGGAGGCAGAGGCAGGCGGATCTCTGTGGGTTCAAAGGCCAGCCTGGTCTACAAAGTGAGTTCCAGGACAGCCTCCAAAACAATACAGAGAAACCCTGTCTCAAAAAACCAAAAAACCAAAACAAAACCAGAATTGTAAAATTGAAATAAGTTGAATAGATTATGCGTGAATAATCGATCTTGTGGGAGGTGTATGGATGATAGAGAAATAGATGATAGACTTTGCCCACACAAACACATACATAACAGTTCAGAAAGAGATGAAGGAAAAATTAGTAAACTAGAATATAGATGCGAAGAGATTACTCAAAGGACAGTGTAAAGATGGACAAGGAAGTGTAAGGGAGATATTGTAAAGAATAATGAAATTTCTGGTTAAGTGAAATTCTAGAAGGAGAGAACAATGAGAATGGAAGAAAACAATATTCAAAGACACAGTGATGAAATTCTTGAATCCACAGAGATAAGGACAAAGAAAATCTGACACCTAAACATATCACAGCGAAGCTACAGGCTGCAAAAGACTAAGTAAGACTTTAAAAAGCTGAGAGAGGAGATGGTTCACTTACAAAAATGGATACTCTAACTAGACTAAGGCTTATTTTCTCAAAAATAGCAATACAAGCTCAAAAGCAATAGAGTAGTAATCTACAAAGTGCTGAAATTATGACTGCCAGACAGAAGTCATGTGCCTAGGAAATTATTCTTCAAGAATGTGGCTGAAGTAAAGACATTTTCATAAAAACAAATGCGAGGTTTGCTCTCAGAAGGACAACATAAAGGAACTGTACAAAGAACATGTCTCAGAAGGAAAGAAAATCATCAGAGAATGATGGCGCAAAACACACAGGGGGAGTGGTGAGTCTTGAGACTAAAAATCTGTACAGTATTTATAATGGTTCATAATACCAGGCTTAACAAAATGACAGAACTAATATGCATAGAGAAGGATAGTCTTCTCTCTACTGCCTCTCATCATGGGCGGCCTTCTAGAAGTTCATACCCACCATCTCCTCAGGGACAGCTGCTGGAACAGAGTCTGCTAATCTTGCTTCTAATAGAAACAAAGGATGGTGACTACAGCAGAAACCTGACAATACAGCCTCCGTGGCATCTATAAAGAGAGGTTCCCAAGGCTGCCTGGGCCATGCCTGGCTCCTGGTGCCTCAGTTTGCCTTCCTCGTTGGCCCATGACTATGACTCTTGCTTCTCTTCTCCCTTTCTTCCCCTGGACAGAGTTGGTTGTGACCTCTTTGCTGTCAATGTGCAGCGCTGTTTTCTCCCCGTAGGTCATCGGTTATTTTCTCCCCATGGGTCATCCTGTGTCTTCTCTAATATGCAGTAGGCTACACTTTTGCTTTGTCATCTTCCTGTTTGGTTTTCAACAACCACTGAAAGCGGTGGCCAACAGCCAACATTATCCACAATAGGAATAGTCATCTAAGTGACCATATGAGGGTAAAGGACTTCATATACTCAGCACACACTGACTGTTGTAAAGATGTAGAAACAGGATGAAATGACCTAAACAATCTGAGTTTGTATAAGCAATTACAAAAAACCATTACTTTCTGTAATGACTAATGTCATGTATATTTGTCCTGTAGAGGGCCTGGCCTGTAACATGTGTTCGAGGGGACAAATCAACTGGGCACAGGAGTGATTGTCATTCTTTCTATCCTCTTAATTCTTCCAGTAAACTTAAATCTTGTTGATATCATGTATATTCCCAAGCCATGTTTAATCACCTGTACAAAGCACTGTGAATGAGAATGCATGGGTTACAGGTGGGGAAAAAAGGAATATTTATTTCCATACTTGAGCATCTTTCCTCCAGGAATAAGATGAGCTATTTACAAATCATAATGCAAAGGATTTTTTTGTTATAGCCATTCATAAATGAGAGAATGTTGAAGGGAAAAGGAAAGGCAGAAAAATAACATAAAGGCTAAAAGTTCACAGTGAAAGAGACATTTTCTGCAGAGTTCCCAAGAGTGTGACCCAGTGCTGTTGACCAGCAGTATGAGCCCAGGTGTTCAACACTGAACCATCTGTGTTGGGCTCCTCACCCTTCCACAAGCCCAAAGTTTCTGCAGTGATGTATGCAGCAGCTGCATCACCATTGCCCCCAATCATCTAGTTTCTAGATGTGGTGGTTTGAGTAAGAATGGCCTCCATAGATGCCTAGAGAGTGGCATTAGGAGGTGTGGCTTTATCGGAGGAAGTGTGTCACTGGGGATAAGATAACTAAGTAGAAATTGATACCAAGGACTGAGGTATTGCTGTGAAAGGCCTGACCAAGTTTCATATGGGTGGAATGTGGACTTTGGGACTTTGAGTTAGGAGAGCAGTTGAATGCTTCAAGCAGGGCTTAATGGGCCATACTCGTAGGAGCATGGAAGACAGAGGTGCTGAGGGTGATTTGAACTGTGGCTCCAGCGGATTCAGAGGAGAAGGATATTAGTACACAGCCTAGTTTGGCTAAAAATGTGGCTACAAACAAACAGACAAACAAAATCTACCTGAAGCTAAATTGAAGAGTTATGGCTTAACATCTTTGGCAGAGGAGATTTCCAGACAGCCTAGTATTGACTGTGTTGCTTGGTTATTAGTGGCCATGCTTATGCAGGTCTGTAATAAAAAGGGGCAAGCTAAACAAGGGAAAATACAAAATGTATAGTTTGAGGAAAAAAGGAGCACCAGGAAGTATAATAGAGTCAAGTCCACTGCTCAAGGAAATAAACAGATTAAAGAAAAGTCTGATGCTAAATGGAATAATGGGAGGGGTGACAATAGGACAAGACCCTACCCAACTAATATTCTAACTTGTGGAAAGGAATTAAGGAAAAGTTTAGGACCTGGTGTGATGATACACTGTCTTTAATCTCAACCTTTGGGAGGCAGATTTCTGAGTTTGAGGACAGCCTGGTCTACAGATTATGTTCTAGGACAGCCAAATTTAGGCCATAAGGAAAACCACGGAAAATCAGAAAGCTGGTGAAAATGTGTTTGAATGAGGAGACCATGTTCCAGTCCCAGAAGCAACAGAACTTGACAACTTTGGCCATGAGGTTTTGGCTTTAGAGCCAAGGATACAAGAATG